TCTACCTTTGTACGACGCGATCTGAAAGTAACAAATATTTTCCATTTATAATAACTTACTAGTTTAAAAAATAAAAAGAAATTATATATTTTTTAAAATATTTGATTGTGTAAAAAAAATGATCACGTTGAATAATTTGGTTTCCAATATTTATTTATTATTAATTATGAATAATCGTACAATATTATCGATAAAATAATTATACGTCATAATTTATCTTAATTTTGATAATACTATTGACTTAAATATTTAAATTCTTTGACTATATTTATCAAATACTAAGTACGTACTTTTTAAGTACTCGTAGAATACTACGGTGACACGGAGCAACGATTAAGAACTTTCTTCGTTAATCGCTAAACGGTCCGTCGTAATTTCAACTTCATATTATATATGCAACGACCGTCCATGTTACAAGTGCAAGAAACTTGTATTTGCTTGTATCTTAAATAACTGGAAAAATAACGAAATTATTTATATATCTAATATTCTCTTTAACGAAGTAATCATTTTGTAGAAAATTAAAAACTACACAAGAGAAAGTTAATACAAGATAATTTTCTTTCTTCATTTTAAAATATAATTTAAACATTAAAATCATTCATTCATGTAAATTTTAATTCATTAGTTTTTCAATGAACAAACGTCCTTTAAAATTCGTTAAAAGAAAAATAGAGAAAATAATTTAAACATATGAAATAAATAAAATAATTTAAGTAAAATAAAGTAAATTAGAGTACACGAATATACGAAATAAACGTATTCCAACATGAGAAAGTTTCAAAAAATTACAAAATAATGGAACCTGATATATCAGTCGTAATAGATCGTAAAGTTTAAAGAGAATTCGAATTCCGCGTAGTACAAAAAGTAACGAAATATATTTAGAAAAAAAAAAACTCTTCTTAATTAAATAAGCGAATGAAGAGAAATGTTCGTAAGATTGGATTAGTTACATAACTCTTCGTGGTAATGTTTGGTGCATTATGACATTGGCTCGCGATTTTTCAACGACCTTTTTCGCCCGGTAACGATCACTTTCCTTTCCTGATAATGCAAACTTTTCCTGTACCGAGCGAAATCATTATAATCCGCGTAATTACGCGACGCGTTCTCGAGAATCCAAGTAGACAGATAAGTACATACATACATTCGGTTTATATACAGGGTGAACCAAAATTTCAAGGCGAACGAAAAATTCTTAAATAATTTTTCAAAAATCGATTAACCTTTTTACAAATCTTTTTAAACAAATTTCACCTTTCAAATGTAAACAGATTCTTAATCATAAGATTTTGCAATAGGACAAATACAAAATTAGCTTATAACCTAAATCTGAACAATTAACTGGAAACATGAGTCATTGATTTATGTAATCATTTGAAAATTTGTAATCCACCCTGTACATATCTCTACTTATGTACATACGTAGACTAGGAACATGGTAAAGAAAGAGAGAAAGAGTGAAAAGATTGTATTTTCTCGTATCGTGTGGGCGTAAGTGATGCGCATAAAGGAAGAAACCACGTACTCGTTAGACCATCTGTTACCAACAACGTACATAGTCTTCGTCTATCATCTACACGATCGAAACTCGAGAGAGCGTGGATGAACGCATTTTCTTCCTCCCCTCATTTGAACCTCCTTTTCAGCCACCTCTTCTTCCAGTTTTTAGAGAATTCTTCTGATATTACGAGAAAATACTTTCGAACAAAGGATGTTGGACGTGTTTCTCGATAAGTCGTAACTTTCGAGATCGCTTTTTTATCGTCATTCATCGAAGGACGTTCCAGGAAGAGCATTGATCACGTTTTTCTATATTTTTCCTTCTCTTTATTCTCATTTTCTTTTTCGTTCAAGTACCTTCGTTAATGAATCGTTGCGAATTGTTCTTTTTTTCTCTTAGAACATATTTGTCGGAAGACTGACTTCACAAGTACTAACGTTTCTATTTACATCGAAATTAATTAAAGGAAAAAGAGAGAAAGAGAGAGAAAGAGAAAGAAATAAATCAACTGCATAACTCTTTAAAATATCTACCTTACATTAATTATATTTTTATTAATATTATTATCGCGACAAAAATAATAATCGAAAAATACGAGGATGGTTCGAAAAGTTTTGAGTCTACGTTGAAAAAAATATATGTTTATCCGACAAAAAAAAATTGTTTCTTTTAGGCTGAAATCTTTTCAATATCATGAATCCATGTTCATGATTAAGAACAAAATGAAGGAAGTAATACAATAAACGTTAATTATATACGGCAAAATTATAAATTCGACACGACTATGCAATGTGATCCCAAGTTTTATGGGGTAACAAAAAAATATTCTATATAGAATAAAAAAGGGAAGACCAAATTTACATCGGTTACTTTCACTGGTACTGTTATGCCAGATCGCGTAGAAGACATCGCGAGAAGGTTTGATGCACGATCCTTCTTCTTCTACTTCCTTTGCGCCATTGCTCCGAGGCTTTCTTCTGCACGATAGTCTCAAGCGAATGCTTTTTTTCAATCAATTTTATGAGATCGAAAGGAGACGCTCGGATTTAGCTGCATCACCGTTCAGTGCGCGCCCAGCTTTATCTTCATCGTTCGAACGAGCTCGGTCACGAGTAATTCGAGTATACGACTGCCACACAAATTTCTTACCCCAATATATCAACTACCGCTTTCTCTCGAAGCTTTTCAAAGAGAAGGAGGGAGAGAGAAAGAACGAAAAATACGATTTCATCCTTATCTTATTGTTTATATTTATTTATGTAAGCCAGGATTTATAGAATCATAAAAAAGGAGAATTGATTTTTGAAATCTTCCCACCATTTTATTCTAACTTCCAAATGATATAAGTAACCCTATCGTTAATATAATATATAGTTTTCCTATTACTTTTTATTTAGATTAATTTTAGACATATTCTAACAATATTCTTTATAAACAAATTTTCTATAATCACGATTTAACAAACATCCATAGCCTTTAAATACTATCTGATTCGTATTAGACGGAAATTTTATTTTCAGTCATAAAACACGGTACAAATGAACCGTGTTATAAGATAGAGAAACTTATACAACGTTAAGAAATCATTTTGTTACTAGGGATCGAGAATAGATAGAATATTGAACGGTTCAAGTGGAAATACGTGAAAGATGAAATTTGTTTTTTCTGTTTCTTTTCTATTTTTTTTTTGTATCAACGGTTAAAGTGCGCAGGTTGGCCTTAAAACGTGCCAACGGCAACTCGACATCCATACACACATACTACTTATGCATGCACTTATGCATATAGACACACATTTAGTAGAACCTTTTTGAAAGGATCTTTATCAGCGAGCGAATCTTTGTGGGATTTCGCGAAAGGATCTAAAATGTTTAGGCGATCCTTTTCGCTGGCGCTGAATGACCCTGCTATTATTTCACCGCCTTTCTTTCTCTTTTGCCCTATTGTGCAAACACACTGAAAGAGAGAAGAGGCAAATAGACAAGCCGCCACTGCACCGTTAAAACAGCCACGTGGAGAAGGAACGGGTCACGTAATGTGACTCGCAACTTAGCAATGAAAACTATAAATTGATTTATTTTCAACGACCTGTCAACCGTCCTAGAAAACTATGCTTGCTCGTTTCTTCGTGCCTGCGAGGCTCTTTGTCGGTTCGTTTGTTATCCTTTCCAACGTAATTGTACGCTCGATGCTAACGTCTTTCTTTCTCTCACCTTTTTACCCTTTTTCTTCCACGAGCTATTCTAATTTTATTACTCAAATCTTAGAACATAATTATAGGGATTTAAGAATTGTAGCCTGTAAACCAGACAAAATTTGCGTTCGGTTAAATTTATTTTTTAATCGAAATAATGTGGTTTGAATGAAGATGAGATACTTTGGATTAATTAATGAATCGTAAAACGCAGAAATAAATTTTTATTTAAAATAAAATGGTTTTGGAAAAAGACAAGAAACTTTGGATAATTTAAATGAATCGTAAAAAAAAAACTGGGACGTATAATACTGACTTTAATTACAGTGAGAAACGTATGATTTATTTATTCTTTTGTCAGGTGAGAAACGAAATCTTCGTGAGAATTTAACTCATCTTCCCCGGTTAACAGGTTAAGTGCGTAATAATAGAAAATAATCTTTCATTATCGTTATCAGATAAACGTCAGATTAATATGATACATTACATGATTCGTCAATGATTATATCACTAGTCGTGTCAATAATCGAACAGAAATATTATACCAATTTCTTAGAACGTGCACCATTAAATTTTCAAAAAGAAAACTGTCAGATTTTTATTTGCAAATCTCTGGTTAATACTACAAAAAATGTAATCGTTGATTAGATATAGCGTTTCTTTGAATACTATCTTCTTGGTTTTCTTATAGATCAAATAATAAATTAAAGATAATATTAAGTATATACCTTAAAGTTGATTAAAAATATAATTAATAAACATATTTTATAGATCTTGATCTATAAATAAAAAGGCGTAAAGAAATGCGCAATTCTGTTTAAATTTTTGAAATTGTGTAGGTCTAAACATGAAGCGCCATCTGTACAAATTTTCCTAGAATAGAAATAGAGTATTGCACAATGGATAAAGTAGGGTAAAATAAAAAACTATTAATAAAATAAACTCTTTTTTTTGTAATTCCTCAAAAAAAATATTTACCACAATAAACCTGTACATTTTTTTTATCATATCAAAATTACTGAACGATAAAATATAAAACCAAATGAATGACTCAAATATTGATAACATATTTTTATCAAGAATACATTTCCAGCAAAGATGAATCACCATTGGTTAAAACCGGTATTTCAGATCATTGATAAAGCCGATGTAGGAGTCTGATAATTCGCGTAAATGAATAAGATTAAAGTTGCATGAAAATGTGACTTTAAGCGAATGATGAGAAGAACCGGTAGCGTTGACGCTTCGTCCAAATAAGGCGAAGGGCGGGAACAATTGTATATGTAGAGGGAGTTATGGGTATGTGTTAGTGTTGATGCGATGGAAAGCTGGTTGGGAGTTGGAGGTGGTCGACGAGTTCGCTGGAATCTGTCGCCAAGTGTGGTGCCGAGTGCACGTGCTCGTTTGTTCTCGAGATATATATGCGTTTGGTTTGTCATATTCGAGGAACTCTAGCAGCTACTGTGCTATTTAAATAAAACTTTCTCACTGACTCAATACAACCAGAGAATTTAATATACACCGGGTGAATATTACATCGAGGAAAGGCTTGGTATTTAATTTATATATATACATATATATATATAGATATATATATAGCAAAAGAGTACCATTACCCAAGAATACATACACGTACACACATATTTGTGCGGTGTTGTGAGAGACCTCTGCGTGGAAAAGATATCTTTGTATACCACCATATCTTTTGATATACCAAAAGCTTTCAAGTACCGAAACGAAAGGAGTAATATAAGTGTTTGTGGAAAACACGCACAACAGGTACTACTACTAAATAACATTATTCTATCTTTAGATTGTAGCCCTTTTTTTCTTTTAAATACGTGTACGTACAAATGTATACGTTTTAGTTTGTTGAAATATAAAAATACAACAAGTGGTAAGAGTCATTGAACATGATGTGTTATTAATAGGAAACGAGAGATCCGAATTTAGTCGATGTCTAAGACTATTTAAAGGTCAAAACACCAGGAAGAAAAAGATTGAAGTGATATAGAAATGTCATATGAAACAAGTAAGATTCAATCTTTTTTTTTTTAATTATTTTTAAAAAAGTATACTAACGTAGTGTTATCTTACCCAATATCCAATTTTGATAAGATAAATATTAATCATACTTTATTTTCTTCATTTACTTCAAACTATTCTTTTACGATTTATTAGATTATTTAAATATTTAATTAATATTTTGTATTTAAATTATAGAATATATATTGGCCGCATTGCCCAAAACACAAAGAGGGCATCCTCTTGTATTAGGTGGAGATCCAAAAGGAAAAAATTTCTTATATACCAATGGTAATAGCGTCATTATTAGAAATATTGATGTAAGTTACATTTATATTAATTTTTCTACCTTCTTTTTCTATGTTTAAAAAATATTAATATATTTTTTACTTTTTTTCATGATCCTGCGCATGTGTGTTTATCTGTATTATTAGAATCCAGCAATTGCTGATATTTATACAGAACATTCTTGTCCCGTTAACCTTGCCAAATATTCTCCAAGTGGTTTTTATATAGCATCGGGTGGTAAATATTTATTTAAGACTTATATATTCTTAACACACAAAAAAAAAGATTATTAACTGTTTGAGTCCTAGGAGTCTTTAGAAAAATCATGCAAACAAATGTCAAGTAGAATAAGAATGTGTCAATTTCACAATTTCCATAACATGGCACTTTTCAACGAGAAATCTGAACAGCACAATCGTACTGCTTAGGTCATAAACGGTTAATGTGTTTAACAAAGATTAATAAAAATATTACACAATTAATATTTATAGATCAATCTGGGAAAGTACGTATTTGGGACACAGTGAATAAAGAACATATTTTAAAAAATGAATTTCATCCAATCGGCGGACCAATTAAAGATATCGCTTGGTCACCTGACAGTCAACGTATGGTTGTGGTTGGTGAAGGAAGAGAGAGGCAAGTACACGAACTATATCTTAATCTATAATTAAATTAGTATAATAATTTTAAATCTATATTTATAATATTTCACAGATTTGGACATGTGTTTATGGCAGACACTGGTACATCCGTGGGCGAAATATCCGGTCAAAGTAAATCAATAAACTCGTGTGACTTCAGACCAACGAGACCATTTAGATTGATTACCGGTAGCGAAGATAATACCATTGCTATTTTTGAAGGCCCACCATTTAAATTCAAGTATGCGAAATTTATACACAATTTATAAATATATTTTATGTATGAAAGATTTGTAGTACTTCCTTATTTATATTAATTTTTCCATTTATTTAGAATGACAAAACAAGATCACTCTAGTTTTGTGCAAGCCGTACGTTATTCCCCAAATGGAAATTTATTTGCATCCGCAGGCTTTAATGGAAAAGTATTTATTTATGATGGAACAACATCTAATCTTGTTGGTGAAGTTGGCTCTCCTGCACATCAAGGTGGTGTTTACGGGGTACAGAACATATATATATATATATATATTTCATTTTTCCTACTTCATTCATACAAATATATGAATAAAACAATAGATTAAATTAAAAATAATTAACAAAGTTACATATCTTCAGGTCGGCTGGAAACCAGATGGCACTCAATTATTAACTGCGTCGGGAGATAAAACGTGTAGATTATGGGACGTAGAAACTCGATCATTAATTAGTGAATTCAATATGGGAACTACGGTCGATGATCAACAAGTTTGTACATGCTAATAATGATATCGAGATAAAAAATTAACAAAAAATAAGATGAAGATTTTTTTATAAAATCTGTTTTTACAGGTTAGTTGTTTATGGCAAGGCGATCACTTATTAACTGTTTCTCTCAGTGGATTTATCAATTATTTGGACGTCAATAATCCTTCGAAGCCTCTAAGAATAATAAAGGTATTTACGCTACTTCATTAAATTAATACTACGTACATATTAATTATTATATTCTATTTTTTTATAAATTATTTTCAAGTTATATATACATATACGTGTATATATAACGAATTAATGTTTTCTTTTAGGGTCACAACAAGCCAATTACCGTTTTAACGCTAAGTCCTGACAGATCGAACATTTACACGGGATCTCACGATGGTTATATAACTAGTTGGAACGCAGAAACTGGAGAAAATGATCGTGTTCGGGGAAATGGTCATGGAAATCAAATAAATGGAATGAAAGCTACGAAAAATATTTTATACACTGCTGGCATCGATGATACTTTAAGGTCTGTAGACATAGAAAATTGTGCATATTCGGATAACTCTATCAAATTAGATTCTCAACCACGAGGTTTGGACGTTTTCGAAGATAAAGTTATTGTCGCTTCTGTAAAACAGGTAATTAAAACAAATATTATGCAATATTTTTTAAATTACATTTCTAATCCTTAAAAATATTTGGAAAATATGAATTTTTTATTTCAAGGTAATAGTTACGCAAGAAGGCCGAAAAGTATCAAGCATACCAACCGAATATGAACCATCGTGTGTGTCAATTAATCAAGATAATGCAAATGTAGCTATAGGATCGGCAACAGACAATAAAGTTAGTTCTAAATATACATACATATATATATTTAAATATAAAAATAGTTATTTAACAATGCATAAACAAATCTTTGATAATATGATACACGCGAATAAGTTATATAATTTATTACGAATCGTTTTCAGGTTTATATTTATGAATTAGTAGGAACAACGTTAACACAAAAGACTGAAGTAGTACATTTAGGCCCAGTTACCGATGTTGCATACAGTCCTGACAATAAGTATTTAGTAGCCTGTGACGCTAATCGAAAAGTTGTCCTTTATACTGTTCCAGAATATAAGGTATATTATACACACATTTCATTAGAGATATAATTATGTCACAAAATATCTGTTTATTTGCTATTGTATTATTTTTATAGCCTGCTCACAACAGAGAATGGGGCTTTCACAATGCAAGAGTTAATTGTGTTGCTTGGTCGCGCGATTCAGAAATGGTTGCTAGTGGAAGTTTAGACACTACAATTATTATTTGGAGCGTATCCAATCCAGCCAAGCATACAATTATTAAAAGTAAATCTTTTTTTATATAATTAAGATCGTCCAACGACTTAATTTAAATGCAATTAAGATGCAATCTGCTTTTAAATTGAAGAAAAATAATTAACAAGCTTTATTACGTTTCAGATGCTCATCCGCAAAGTCAAATAACACGTTTAGTTTGGTTAGACGAAGAGACCTTGGTATCGGTTGGTCAAGACTGTAATACTAAAATATGGCGTATAGAGAAAATTTAAATATCTTTTAAAAAGGAAAACGAAACAAAACGAAAAAATATTATACAACCCTTTTTTGAGAAAATTGAGCTTTGGATGTATTTTATTTATTTAATTAGTCGCTTTGAACATATTGTATATTATTTTTAAATACGATTCTTGGTATACAATACAACGCGGGAAATGAATATATATTATGCGATTTATTTTTATTTAGCGAAATAATTAATCTTCATTTATATATTCTTGAAAAAATCCTTATACGAGTATTATATTATGAAAAAAATTTTCTTTTTTTCTTACAATTATCATTGATAATATATACCTAAAACTATTATATATTATTATCTCTCAACGATTTTCTTTTATGTGCGTAAGTGTAAACGTTTTGTTATAAGCTTTGTACAATTTCTAAAGAAGTTTGAATTTCATAAAGAAGAAAAAGAAGCATTGAAACAAATTCGATAATTTTCTCCTTTATTAAAATGGTAATGGTAACAAGGCAACAATAACAATTTAAAAACGGGAGATAAATCTGTATAAACCTAAACACGTCTAAACTTTTATCTGTAGAATTATACAGATATATAACGAGAGGAAAACTAGATTATTTATATATATTTATACATTTAATGTCTTTCATTAACTCAAAGCAGTGATTAACTACAAAATGATAACAATGGACCATTTTATTTCCATTACTAATAAAATATTCTCAAATTGGCCTATACTTACAAATACATTCGTCGTCCCTCCATTTACACTTTAAAATATTCAAACTTTAAAGTATTTTTCAAGCAACAAGAATAATGAGTTTGTATTCTAATTAAGAAGAAAAGATTAATTATTGTTATTTTTTTTTAACTCGCGTGAAAAATAAATATGTATTTCTAATACCAACTTTTCTTACTTCTAATATTTTCTTGTACACCAACAAAGTCGTTTTCTTTTCCACATGTAACGGAAAAACTTTGCATAAATGGAAGGACGAGTTGTAATTCATCCTCTAAGATGAAAATGTATGTTGTTAGGTATTCCTGATAAATAGATAACGATCTATTGTTTAGAAGTATTATACCGTGGACGTTTTTGGGGTGTAGACACTGGATGTCTATACGAAATGTGTTTCCTTAAAGCATCTCGTGACCGTGATACATGTGAGCATGCCGTGCAACTATACGAGCTGTTACTGTGAGTTTCCATATGCACTCGTAAATTGTATTGATTACTTAATTGTTTACCACAAACATGACATGTAACACTAGACTTATTGTAAATGTGTGAAGTTCTATTAGATACGGATGAGCCAAGGAACTTGAAGTTAGAATCCCAAATAGGCGGTTTTACATCCGTTTGCGTAGTATTAGCATCTTCCGAAACCGAAGCAGTTTCATCCATCGTATTTTCTGGATATACTTTCTCGTTATACTTGTTGGATGACGTATTAATAAGACTAGGTACCTTTTCTCTTTGATTTAATTTTGCATTTATCGAATAATATGGTGTAGTCTTAACATAATATGGTATACTTTCTTGTTCATTGTAAGATTCTTCTTCTAAATTAGGTGCGACTTCGGGTATCGATAGTGTTTCTATTGATTCTGTTCCTCCAATGCTGCACTCTTTAGTTTCTTTCTTTAATGTTTCTTCTGCCACAGTGTTTACTTGAGATTGAGGGGTCGTTATAGGAGACTGAACGCGTAAGCCGTTGTCATGTCTTGGATTTTTCTGCAATAAAATTAATATTTTCTAATTATGAAGATCCAAAGATAATTTTGTCTAATATTAATGGCAATGAAAGCTTTGCAAATTATGAGTTCATTAAATGCTGTTTATACCTATCATTTAACTTTGATTATTTTATTTGACAATCGTTAATCGTTCTTATTTTGTTTATTTTTGTATCCAGCAATCAAGAATTCCCCATATTACTAACAATAAATTAAAATCATTCATGCAATATATCTCTCAATATCACACAATAAGAAAGGATACTTTTTTAGATAATAAATGTTATGGACATCACAAATATAAAAGCATTATTCTGCAAAGTGAGCAAACATATAGTAGACCACAGCTATAAATTTTCCATAAAAAATTCTTTTAGTAACATCATGATTTTATGGAGAAAGCTATTTTAGATATACCTGTAAATTCATTCTATGGGGTAAGGTTCCATGGGATGCATCCACTTGCATTTAGTTGCAACACACACAACGATCTTGATCTCGTGGATATCGTTTGTATTCATTATCGTTCCTTTGATGCACGTATGAATATTATATGCAGCAGATAATTCCACCGTGAGTGGTACTTCTTGAGGAACGACATTGAATGTTTAAGTGACCTGAACAAAACAACACGATCCTAGGGTAATATAAAGAGATTAAAAGGAAAAAGCAACAATGCTATTTGTTTTTAAATTATCATACAATTATAGTATTTGGTAAAAGTAAATATTCAATAGTTAATTCCTCCACTAAAATTTTCATGTAATATTAATATTTATTCTTTTTTTTTTTTTTATAAAATACATCTCTATTGGATAATATATCTACGCATATATTATCTAAATAAATATATTATCTTTTTCTTCAATTTCCACTAATAATCTACTTTATGTATAACTACTAACAAAAATGGATGAGAGAGAGAGAGAGAAAGACATAAAAGGTAATGAAACACACAGAGACAGGGGTTTAAACATTAACCCAGGTTCAACTAAAAGAGTTAGCCAATTGGTTGTCACAAATTGAAATCTAGGCTTTTTAAGTCAAGATGGAGGAAGCAATCTTGCAGGACAAATAAAGGGCAATCTTTTGATTATTAGGACTCTTGCAAGAACATATAAAATATTTTTTCTGTAACTATTAATTTCACAATAATAATAATATAAATTTTCTAACATTCTGACATGCAACCTACAGAGACACAGGACTTGTATAACTCATTTTATTATTTATAGCTTTTAGCAATTTTTATAATATAGGAAATATAGCAGAAAATCAATGTATAAAAATCATTTAATCGTTTATCAATTAAAAAAATTTGTCAAAGTAATATTCAATCAAATAATTAGAAATAAGACTTAATTCTTTTTCTTTTTTCTCTTTATATATGCAAAGATAAAGATATAATCTATCACAGATCACCCTACATAAAGAAGCTTCAAGGTATCACACAAACTTGTCATATAACTGTAGATATATTATATAACAAAATATCAAATGAAGCAGCAATAATTTGCACACTTTGTCGTATGTATTTTAAAATAAAAAAAAAATAAAAAAAATAAAGGAACATTGTCTTACCCCACCAATATCAGCTAAGCCACGAATATGTAAGGTATTAGCCATAGCTAAAAGTGCAGGCAATTGTTCTTGATAAATATTAACTTCTCCGCTGTACATAAATGTAACTAATGCACACAAATTTCCATATTCCATGCCTGGTAATACGATGACTGGATGCTGTAAAGAGCTTAAGTCCTACAAACAATTAATTTGCAAATAAAAGAAAAGTTGTATAACATGCATCTTCTTATATGATTATAATCTAATAATAGTTTAAACGTTTCATTTAAATTTCTTCTACATACCTTAAACAATTCTTTAAAATAATAACTACATGCTGAAAGTATTATTTTGTGAGCATGAATGTGTCTTCCTCCTGCGCTTAAAGTAACATCTGTTAAGTATCCGCCATCCAACAACTTTGGTAAAGAACTTAACAGAGTATTTTGAAAATTATGCCATCGTAAACAGAACTGTTGGCCTTCCATACTTCTTCGCTAGGTAAAAAATATATTATTTATGCAATGACAGATAAAAAAATATATACACGTGCTGACATATACTTATATATAGAGATTATTTTATCGCAACAGATTCTTTCAATTAATCATATTCTTTGAATATTATTACAATAATTATTATTTCTATCACGTAATAATTATTCACATATAAACGTGATAATAATGTAAATAATAAGGTTAGGATAGGGTTGATCATTAAAATTAAAAAAAAAAGAATAAGTATCACTTGTAATAACAAAGGCGATACCTTGGGACGAATTAAGATATAATTGGCTGCCACTTAGACGGTGCACTCAGAGATAGACAATACTATTTATTTAATCAGGTTGTAGGTTCCAGCCAAATCTATTATTGTACTCAGGTATGGCTGGAGGAAAAGGCGAATATTGGCACAATATTTTTTTTCATTATTGATTTCTCAATCGAATATATACGAATATTATTGAACGTTAAATAATATACTAATAAATATTAAATTAATAATTAATTTCTCTAGCTTACCTTTAAAAAAAGATCTATCTTTTTCCAAGATTAACGCATACACACTCAGATGCACAACACTTGCTTAGACTTCGCTTTCATATGGCAATCGGCGTTAAGCCGAACTCATACCAACTCAAAAAATTAACTAAATAGGATTTGAATAGTTACGTTCTCATAACCAATAGATTAGCTAGAAACGATACTATTTGTTCTCCCCTTGTTAATAAACAGGTGCACGAAATTTAAAAATTATTCGAACGTTTCGATTATTACTTTCTTGTAATGTCCACAATTTTTAAGTTATAGATAGCGAGTTTTGAAAAGAAATAGATAAACTATAACACTATAAAACACACAAGATATATTTATAAATAAAATATTTGTCAACAAAACAATTCAATATGATAAAAATACTTGAACTCACTTTATAAAATTTACCGCTCAAATGAAAATGACAAACACAACGAAAGCGAAAAGTCGACCAATCAAGAATTACCATTAACACGATTGGCTAAAATTTTTTGCACAATTTCGTCTAGCGCGAAATTTTAATTAAGAAAATTCAAAGTGAAATTAATCGAACGTAACCTTTACGATCGTAGTAGGGTAAACTCGTGTATAAATTTATCTAGTTAATAATAATATAATACTTATATAATCACTCTATTTTTTACATAATATAACATATCATTATATATATATATTTAGATGTGTCTGTAATTTGTTGACGAATATTGTAGGTTAGATGCTCTTATACGCGTTTGACTTCCTGAAGTTAGATAATATTTATCTGTTAACAATAATCAAATTGTTTAATTATATAAGCGACAATAATGATATTGTTAAAATTCAAGTCTGAATCAACATATTATTCAATCTACAAATGTGCTTTATTTATCATATTTATCACAAGTACCTCATCACTTTTTATTTATTTAAATAAAATCCAACCGCATTATTATATCGATGAAATGTTTCACATACCACAAACTTTACAATATTGCGATGGAAATTTTACTGTGGTAAATAAAGAGTTTCTTTTATTTTTCACTTTTTACTAATATTATAAATATCAAATTAATATAATGTATTTTATATTGCATTGCTTTTATTTCAGTGGGACTCAAAAATTACAACTTTACCTGGCTTGTATTTTCTCACAGCTGCAATATTATCTCCTTTAAATCTTTGTACTATATTTTATATAAGATGTATAAATTTATTTGGTACATTTGCTAACTTTTATCTTACGTATTCTTTAATGAAGCAAATACATAAAAATAATTGGGAAGATTGGATGCAGTTAGAGATAGCATACGATATTACAATGTTTCCTCCATTATTTTTCTGGTTTTTTCTATATTATACAGATGTTGTATCTGTCAATGTTGTATTATTGATGTTATTACTACACTTTCAATCATATTACAAATTTTCAGCTTTCACTGGTATGTATAATAACTTATAATACTTACTTTTATTTAGCAAATGCATACATTCTTTCAAAGCATAAAAATATGTATTTTTACATTTTACTTGTTATGTTATATAGGATTGTTAAGCATTTTGATCAGACAAACAAATGTTATTTGGGTTATATTTCTCACCTTGGAACGTCTTGTGGATTTAATACATCAACATTCGCAGAAACCTACAATGGCTGTTGCCATTAATACACCGGTTCATTTAAAGGTAAGACACACAAAATATTGTATTAAAATTGAGAGAAACATATGACATAATTCTATATAGTCTTTGTGAGCAGAATATGACAAAATTATGTACTTTTTAGTTGTTATGGAAGAGTATAGTGGATGAAGCAAATAATGGTAAAATCTCATTTATTAAATTCCTTATTAAAATAAGTATTAATCTTTTTCCCTATATAATGGTAGGCATAATATTTTTAATTTTTCTTATTTGGAACGGTGGTATTGTTGTTGGTGATCGTACCGCGCATGTACCAGTGATTCATATACCGCAATTATTTTATTTTTCTGTTTTTCTATTTTCCTTCTTATGGCCTTACATGATACCGCATTGTTCCAAATTTTTTCAAAGTATTCAGGATCATTGGATCTTGTCGAGTTTTATTTTTGCACTTATAACAATTATAGTTCATTGCAATACCCTTGTTCATCCATATGTATTAGCCGACAATAGACATTACACATTTTACATATGGAATAAATTTATGGGGAAATATTTTCTATTAAGATATATGTTAGTACCTGTATATTGTTTTACAATTTATAGCGCACTGTATGGAATAAGTCATATAAGATTTGCAACGAAAATTAATTTTATTTTCTGCACAACTATAGCTCTTGTATTACAGTTATTATTAGAACCACGATATTTTATTATCCCCTATATTTTTTATCGTTTAAGTATGAGAAAACCACAAAATTGGCAAATTGTTATGGAATCGTTCACGAATTTGATAGTTAATCTTTTACAATTTTTTATATTTGTTAACAAAGTATTTTATTGGGAAGATCAAATTCATCCCCAGAGAATATCTTGGTAAGATAATTTCTGTTTGATAATTTCTTTCAATTGTTAATAAAATGCAAAAGCTAGGAATCTATTCTGACTAGATTCATTTATAGAAAAGCATATATATCATTTATAAAATTATAAAATAAAATGATATATAATTTTGTTTTTGCTAATAAAAAGTTATCTGAGACGACAATGCTCTATCTGAAAGATATAATTAGATTTACATTTCATTTCTGGATGATTTCGTTTCAGTATCTTAAAATAGAATAGTACAGACTTCAATATAAACGCATAGTCAAGCTTGGCTATTTTCTTTTCATTCTGCTAATTTTAAGTTAGGATTTTTCTATTCTGTTTATTTAATTATGTCTAATAAATGATTAACAAGTCTTTGTTACCTCTCAAATTTAAAATTATGTCTAATAACATACAATATATTTATAAGTTTTCAAAAATCTATTGAAAATGATTGAAATAAAATAAAAATTTTATTTGTTAAATAAGAATCAATAACCAATTGTTTTTTAACTTTTTTATTTGGTATTTTTTCATCATATACAGTCTCTGTAGTTCCAATATTAGCAGTCGCACGAAAATTAGAATATAGATTAAATGAATAGATTTGAGAATTTTTCTTACGTCTATGAAAACAATTATTTTTTATTTATTTTCTATGATATTTGTGATCAGTCCTCGCATGTAATAATTTTATAATTTTTTTATTCGTCGCTAATGTTTCACGCGTACATACGCGATAGTAAAATTCAGATTACATGATTATAACGATCCAAATTATATGATGAAAATTTGACGATTCGTACAATAAAAATCATTCCGACGCTTAATATTTATTATGTCAGTAATATTTTTTTTTAATAATTATCGTCAAAATATTTATCATATACAATTTGGAAAGCATATGTACATTTGATTGTTGGAATCCTATATGAGAAAAACGATTCCAAATTTATAAATAGAAGTTGAGTTTCATTTTATAATACTTATCGAGAGAGTGATGCTCTTGTTTTATTGTTGATCATTTCATTTTATTTTAATATAATATAATATAATGTAATACAATAGAATAGAACATATTCTTTGAATTTCATTATTGTATTTATCATATTATTGCTCGATATTCTTTACATCAGTATAATGCATCTACGATATACTATACAACGCATTGTAAATAATAATATTAGTAACAACTGATCTTCATATTAAGCCTAAGACCTAAACGAACTTAATTTATTACATAGGAAATGACAGGTATTTAATAATAATAAACTTAATTATATCTCTTACTTTTTTGTTTATCGTTTCTATCTTAAAAAGGGGATTGTATTTAAGTAGATACTTTGATACGAAAATCATAACAAGGGATATGAATATATTCGAAAAAATAAAAACTATATAAAGACTTTTCTTTTTGTTTTGTACATTGCAAAATGATTTGCAGCAAAAATATATATATATATGTATACGTAAATACATATTTGTATCTTTTACTGACTTCTGCGTCAATATGATTAATGGAATAATCTGTTCATTGCATTTCTTTCACATTTTATCTCTCATTTTTACAACGTCGTTTGTATATATATATATATATACCTAAAAAGAAATAAAAAATAAAATCGAAACGCTATCGTAAATTTAAAAACTCATTGTAATATCCGTTACTTTGTATATAAATCTTTGAGAAAAAATGTCCTATTTTTAAATATGTAATAATTTTCCTCTAGACTATATATATTTATTTATGTGTGTGAGTAGTATTCATTTTCAATATAGAATTTTTGTTTATAAGTGACTCAATTACTAATTCGTGATTGTTTTCTTTTTAATAGGAAAGAGATATTTTCTTCTTTTTTTCATATTTTTTCTTTTTTTTTCGTTTCCTGTTATCGGAACGGCTACATTCTTCAACTTTACACAAATCTGTGCAGAATATAACTAACGCTTTTACAATTTTAAAATTATTCAAAACGTTGACAGCCATAATTCGATATGCAAAACTTTTTTGATACAACTCTGTCTGTCTGTCTGTCTGTCTGTCTCTCTCTCTCTCTCTCTCTCTCTCTCTCTCTGTCTCTCTCTCTCTTTCTTTTTTTCTCTATTTTATTTCTTCATCAAAATAAGAATTAATATAATGCTAAATTAGAAATAAAACAACAATTATCGACGAATTAATTGTGCGAAAAAAAATAAAATCAATGCATACGTCGCTTAAAAATTTATACACCTTAACACAAGCTATTTGTTAATTTAATTAATCAATTCAACACTGGTTATCGAACCGAAAATAAAAATAAAGAAAATCTTGACCTTTTTTCCCTTGGTATTTTATATACGATATTTATAACTTTCTGCCTAGGAAGCACGGCATGCTCTCTATGTACAAATAAGTCAATTTACAATAGTGCAATATCAAGACCATATTATCGAATTCATAGAGTTTACTTGACCATAGTACATTTCTTTTCTTAAATGGAAATGATTTTTCACGTTAAAATTAAAGGACAATCATGATAAGAAGAGGACCAAATATCAACGAAGAGTGATGATCCCTGAATATGTATGTATATTTAACAAAAATTGTTAATAAACGAACTAGTAATTATAAAAGTGATCTAAGTCACTTAAGATCTTCAAAGACATATTTTTATTATTTTTTTAACCTTAATGTCGAAATATCTTCAAACAAAAATTAATCTAATTCCAATTAGATCACTTTTATAATAACCGGTTCGAATAATCTCTCATTTGATATTTTTTCTACAGTAAAAGGTCTTCTTCAATATAATGATTGAATGGTACACCATTTTTTCAGAAAATGTTCTTCCGACTTTAGGACATATTACATTGGCAATATTTCTTATGGTACAAAGCTTTAGCATGCAACGATGTCCAATGTTCGATCAAAAATCGTAAGTTGAAATTATTATTTCAAATATGACTGCATATAGACTGTCCCAAATACGATAGACAAAAAAATCTCTGGTTATTACTTGTTATTAATAATATTTCATATTAATACAATGAAGTGCATATTTAGTGGCTTAGGCAGATTCAATTCGAGCTCTCACACTTGCGCTACATTTTTACTGGTCCAGAGATAGTTACTCGCTTTTTCTTGTTTCTTTTTTTGGTTTTCTTTTTACATTGTTCCCCTCACCCTTCTTTCTCACAAAAAACCTTTCACTATCACTATGTTCACTAGAATCGAATAAACTCCCCTCGATTGGTCATTGATCTGTACTGTTCGCTGGAGTGTGTGTTCATGTATTTATATATTTATATATTTATATTTCATAATTAAAAATGCACTATATATCGACACTATACTACAGTAAACAATACTACTGCAATGTAGGAGATTTATTTTCGATCCCACGGCTATGAGGTAAACGTTTGCCTTTAAATTCAAAGTTAAATCAAAGGCTTCACCGTCATGTTGATGGTTCAGCTTAAGAACATCCCATTATTCTTCTTTCTTTTCTTCTTCAACTTCTTCCTTTTCTTTTTCTTTAGATTACAAATAGGAGAAATACTTTAGGCACTAAATCACATAGCTTTTTTTTCTTGCACCTATCCATCGTAGAAACAGGTTCGAGAAATAAAACGGACGAGTACTTGGGACTCTTTCTTATCTTCGGTAAATGATGTTAAATTTGACCAGACATCATACTATTTGTTCTTTCAATTTGACGAGATTTGTCGAACCATAAAGTTTCATATTCAATGGTGCACTCGGTTCATTTTTTTTTGTTTGCGTATGCCACGCTAGTATTTTCGTACAATTGTCTGCCAATAATTGAACGTCTCGTGGTTCCAATGGTGCAAGACTTTTCAAGAAACCATCTTCCTCGTAACCAGCCCTAAACGGCATTGTCGCGTTTGGCCTTTGAAGTAAAAATTTAACATTCACAGCAAAACCTGCCATGTCCACAGGAAATTTACGACCTGCGACCCATCCATCATAAAAACCAGCAAACGTTCCGTTCTTTATGATCGGCGAGCTTAAACCAAATTTAGTGCAAAGACCAACCGGAAACATTGACACCGTTTTTGTTTTGCGGATCTGAAATATTCGTATATTTGACAATTTTCGAATATAGTGTTTTAGTAATAAACTTGTTATAATATTACATATCATGTTATCATAATATCAACTCATTTATTATTTATTACATATAGAGATAAATTGTGTATGAAAAATATTGATCATAAATTAGATGATATAAGTAAATTTAAATTTTGGTAAATTGACAATCAAAGATCAATATCTTGCTAATTTGAAAACTAAAATATTCTGTTAGAAACAGGCAAATTTGTATAAAGAAAATGAGCTTATTACCTCGTCGAACAAAGCTATGTCGTAGGTGTTATCGTCATCAGCGAAATAAAGTACCCCTTTCGTTGCGTTCGCTCTTATCCATTGCAAGCCGCGATTTCTGTTGGAAACACCGCGTGGTTTTGCACCATTTTTAAATTTATATTTCTCTGGCATTGGCGCTGAAACAAATAACGTTCTCTCGTTACATTATTACGAATTATTTCTTATAATTATTAACAAGTATTTTCATCAAATTGAAATTACATATAGATAGTAATATCATCGTCTGCTATTAACGTTGATTTAATAATTAAAATAAATGAAAAAAACAATGAATATATCTATTTGCCTTTACACATGAAATAAATGTGGATATATATTATAAATAAAGAAATATGAATATACTGATCAATAAAGTACACTCTTTCGGTATTAATATTTTCCTTTTAAAATAATCTTCAGTGGTTGCACTTAACTTAATTAATTTTCAACGACTTCTCTTTTTAATCAGAGAACAAAAATATCCGTATATTTTTTTATGGAGGAGAGTAGTTAAAAGTAGAAGAAGTTTTTAGCATAACAGAAGAGAAAAAACTTCTTAACGATGATGAAGTATTGGAAAACGAAACAGAAGATATACTCACCCGTCAAATGATCGAATTTTAATTTAGTACGTTCGAGTAGTCTGGTAACTTGTTTCGTGGCAACGTATGCATCCTCTATTACGAGCCAGTGAACATTTTTGACTAGCATAAGCGTGTGAGACATCCTAGTGAGCTCTGGAATTTGTTCTGGTCTACGATACGTCGGGGTGATGATGTAGAGAGGATCTAAAGATGATATTTCATTTTTCGTGGACGACGATGATGATAAAGTGGAAGGCGGCGGCGGCGGCGACGGCGGCGACGGCGGCGGCGTACATGAGACGTTCGAGGTGACAACTTTTGGACAGGGTTGTAAAATTCGCGAATCGTTTTCCGTTGTTTCAAGAACATTTTTGTTGTTCAATTGTAACAAAATTTCTTTGAATAACAACGTACCAACTTCCGGACTGAGACCGTTCAAGTCTTGTACTCGACGTACTGCATTCATTATCTGTGAATTCATTTTTATTTTGAAGACAAATTATGTTATCAATAATGATATATGCAGATATTTTGTTGTTTTGTTCTTTTTTAATTTTAATTACAAAACAACAATCATTACCATTTCCGAGGTAAACCTTGGGAATCTAATATGATGTGATTCAACCTCGTCGTCGATAGATCCACCGGCACTAAAATCGATCGCCTGATCGAATCTAACCCCGGTGGATAAATGGTATTGATAAAATACCACGCAAACACCTACTAAAGCTATCATTCCCATTTTCATGGACGGTTTCATTTTACAACTGCCTGTAATCAAGATATTATCGAGTATTTACTTGTGCTGGAACAATTATTTAAAAAATCAAGATTAGGATTTTTAATAAAATCTTTTGATACCTGACTGATAATGTTGTACACATTGAATACCTTGCCTATGTCCTCGTTGTTACTTCTTCTTACGACTCTAAAGTTTTCTAACCTGTCAAAAATTAAAACGTTTACCAATATTTCATACATTTTTGATAAGAAAATATATTATCATTTTCGAATACGATAAGATCTAATCAATGTGTATTAAGTTTATTAATTTAATACGTATCATTAAATACAACTGATAATTAAGTTAATCTCTAAATGATAGCAAGGAGATCTTTAATAAATATCGTGAATGAAGAACTTAAAATAAATGAATAAGCTACAATAAATATCATAAATTATTATCTTCCATTGTCTTAATATAGAAATAATTTTTGATTAAAGAATAACAAAGAGTAGATTTTTCACTTTTAAACGATCAATTTAATTAATAATTAAAAACCCATTTGGATATCATTTTTGAATGAATTTTAATTGAACGATATTTCGTTAGAAATATTATATTAAAGAAATAATCGTAATAAATAGAGTACACTATTTATACATTAACCGCTTGGGCTACAAAGACGTGCCACGCACGTCGAGATGCTTTTGTTTCAAAACTGCGAGCGACGTGTACCCACGTAGATAGGCGTTTATCACATAATGAAAATGACGTATCCTACGTGAAGCGCAAGTGGTTAAGATAAAAAGATAGATAATCAATTTTTATAATTATAATTGTGATAAAAAAATATAATTTTTAATATGAATTCAACCTTGAATAATATCTTTATTATTTAAATAAATTCAACAAAAAATAAAGCTGGATACAATTGCGCAAATCAATAAAATGTTTTTCTAGCCTATCCATTTTTTTTATTTACAAAGACACGAGAAACCAATTGATGGAAAAAATACATACTGATAACCTTTAAATTTCATAAAAAGATGGCCTCGAGGAAAAAATTCTTTAGACCGTTAAATGTGTCCCTTTAGAAATAGCGTAAAACGTTGGTCCTGAATATTTAACAGTAAAATCAAAAATAAGAAATGTTTAAGGTAATTAATAATTATTGTGAATCATCACTTAAATACAATCAGATATTTAATAATCTATAAGTTTATCGCGATTATTAATTTTGTAGATTCGATCGTTGATAAATAAAAATCAAAGTTATGTGGGATAAACTTGAAAAATAATTAAAAAAGAGTATTTTGTATAAGAAATAAAATTTAATTTATACTTGCAAATTACGATTTTTGATAAGAACTATTCCAACTCAAATCTACCATCTCATAGAAAATATTCATCAATAAATTTGCAATAACTCACTCTCTACAACTAACACTCTAATCTTTTTCCTCACCATTTCTAGCCTCTATGTCTTATCTCTCTCATTTCCTCATCGTCGTTAATAAGAGAGAGTTCCTATATCGCAGGTAGCCTCTTTGTTTTTCGAACTTCCAAGAATAGTATAAACGATAGGGGAAGGAACGATGTTTCTTTAATATCCTACATACCAATATCTATTTCCATATACACACACATACATTCTGTTCACACATCTTACAGTTATGATATACAGAATGAATAAGAGTTGCTTTCCTCACAATATTTAGATGAGTTGTTAGAAGAAGAGTTTATAGAACAGTCGTTCGATAACTTACAATTATAATACGATAACAGACAATAATCATCGGATGTGTTCCGTCATATGCAAATCGATAATTAAACGATGAAAGTTGTGCATTAAATATAATGAATACCAATTTGAATGATACATTCGAAAAAATGTTGAAAAATGAATATATACAATTGCATAAATCAGTGGTTTCCAAACTTTTTTGTTTTATCGCCCCTTTCCAGAAAAAGTATTACTTATCACCTCCCTGAAAATTAATTTGTTGGTTTTCCTTTTTTTTTGTAATTCAAAAAAGAAAATTCATCGTCCTCACTCCCTCTTCCCAAATTCGCCTGTGGCCATCAGCCCCCCTGAATCGCTTCATCGTCCACTTTGGGAACCACTGGCATAAATAAATGTTTAGAATTATTTTTGAGAAAGCGACTTTGATCCTTGTGTCACGAGGAAGCTCGAGAAACAAGCGTTGGATAAACTTTGTGCGAGAAGCAAAGCGAAGGCGTAATGCGATAAAACTGGCAGGAAGAACATCCGTTTTCAGTTGAAATTCTATCGATAAACCGCTACTAATGTATTCAAGAGACGAACAATAATACAATATCAAATCGAATCTTTTTTTACTACATGAATCAACGAATTTCTCAAAAGACAAAGAGAGTGAAAATTGTGATCTCCGAGAGAAAGAGAAAGAGAAAGAGAAAGAGACCATGTGATTCGTTCGTCGATACAAGTACTTTATTATATCTCTCTTCCTACGTCGAACAAAGTGACCAATTAAGCCATCATCAACGAAGATCGCGAATATAATATAAAAATATTTTTCCGCTTATAATCGTGTCCCTCTACCTCTCGACACTGTTAAAAATTACACATTTACCTACACACGATGACAAATTCAAAATAATCCCGAAATTTTTCTTTTTCTTCTTTTTCCTTTGGTTCTTTTTTTTCTTTTATGTATAAATTTCATTCTCAAAGTGAAGATAAAAAAGACTGCTAATTATTTTAAAAGCACGATTAATATAAAAAAATATTATTTAATTTCAAAATATATCTAGCGTGAACCGAACCAATTTGTTTCTGCACATTTTCATTCCCTCTTGAACGATATAAATAAAAATAACACGTTTAATTATACTTTCGATCGTTATTTTAAAATTTCTTTTTTTAGACCGTGACATTTTGAGAGTTAGATTTACACGATAATTGGTATCAATTGATTCAATGATACGTAGATCGAATAATAATAATAATAATAATAATAATAATAATAATAATAATAATAAAGTAATTTTAGTCCCTATAAATGTATTGTTTCAAGGAGTCAATAGTCTAGAACTATTTTGCTCTCTAATATCTGTACGCTAAGCTACAATTTACATAAAATAATCTATCGTGTTCTATACTAGCTAGATAATACAAGGACGCCACTAATACACGCGTATCATTCTAATCGATGTGCGTGCGATCGCACTATATAACATATACGTTCTCTCCACATAATATACTACTACGTATAAAAGTACCTTGCACGCAATTGAGTTTGTATTTAAAAAAAAAGAAAAAAACACGATTCTCAAAGGATTATAAAATAGAGCGAGATAAATATTGAAAGTACGTAAACTAACAGTCAATAATAACACATCGCGATCAATTACACATCGTACAAAATTATTCACTTTTCATTTATTTTACAGTAGATTATTCTATTTACGTTAAAAAAAAGCAAATATATAACGGTATGTAGTTGTTGTTTTCTATTTAATATTAACGTAGGCAAGTTCAACGATTGTTTTAGGTTTTTTTTAGAAAGAATTAATATTTTCGTGAATTGAGAACAATTTAAAATTCGTTGCCTTGTCATCTATTTCGAAGTTTTACACATAAAATATATAAATTTTTAGTATTATTATTACATGTCGAATATATGTGAACATTTTTAATATATAATTATAATATATAATTATAATTTATTTTACGTAATAAATGAATAAGAAGATTGATGACTGCTATGTAAATACTTACATAGGCGTATTATGTACATATGTATGCGTTTCTTAAATTTCTTACAATTTGCATATTCAAATATTGTAACAGAATTGAATAATATCTTCTTTTTCATTTACCCTAAACATGTGTACTTCGCGTTTTATTAACGCGCGATATATTTTCAAAATTATTTGTTTAACATTCGAATGAACAATTGAGAATAAAAAAACGAAAAAGATAATTCGTTCGTTTGTTATTTTCGTCAGCACGTTGCAAGTATGTTCCATTTACGTATGTTGTTCTTAAATTAGAAGAATAAAAAATTAGTTTATTGCGTAGTTGATATAATTAGATCGTTGCTAACAGAAATTGCATATTAAACTAATTTCTTTTAATTCTGAATTCAATTATGCAAATACACGAATAAAACGGTGCATCCGAGGAAATTATTCTTAACGCGTAAAATGCAATAACATCTAGGCAAACTCGATCAATCCTTTCAATTAAAATTACAAATTTTGGATAATTTTCTATTTTTAAATCGAGAAAGTTCTTTTTAATTTACAATTTTTGAAATAAATTTATAAATAAGAAAAACTTAATATTAAACGAATGAACGAACGAACAAATGAACACAGTAGATCTTTTGTTCATTCTTCGATCAAACAAGACGACGGTTGACATACTTCTATAATGCTTTTTTCATCGAATAAAAGCAACGAACTAACCGAGACGAGACTGCGGAATTAAGAAAATCGATGTGTGTGTTATACATGTGTGATTCTATGTAGACACAATAGATGTCGATTCATTTATCAAGACTACTATACACCTTATAAATTATTCTAATTTATATAGATTCGAAAGATTCAATGAAGCATGTATTCTTGGATTACGTGTACGATAGGTTATCTGCCTACAGGCGAATTTCGTATATCAATTATCAATAATTGATACACGAAAATGAAAACATCATTTCAATAATTAAATTTATTATATTTAAAATACTGAAATTAACAAAATTGATAATTAAATAGAGGAAAACGAAAATAGAAATGTATAATAAAATAAATTAAATAAGCACAAAAAAGAAGAAAAAAAAGATATTTTAATTAAAACACTCAATCATTAAATTACATCGATGAAAAAAACAAACTACCTAAACGAATCTAACTGGATTTTTTGATACCATAAAACATGGAAAATTACGAAAGATAGATATCGCAAAAAGTATTATTATTTAATCGAGTGTTTGCATCAACGATAATTCCGAATAAAGATCTAAATCTAACTTCAATGAGATTAAGAAATCACTATTACGGTATAAACCGAAAGAGAATCGTAGAGACACACGTGCAACGGTAAATACGCGGCGCGTGAAATACTAGTGGCTATAAAACCTAAGCGACTCATAACCGTTGAACACGTGCTACAGCAAATTCGACGGAAAGTATCCCGCTCTCGTGTCGCAACTTAACCGTATGCATGAACGTAAATGAAGTTTATATTTTTTCGTGGTACGCTAAACGAAAACAACCAACCAAAATAAAAAATATGCATTTATATATTAAATATTTAAACATAATCTACGTACGTTTAAAATACGATAGATATACAATACATATGTAACATTGTCCTCAATAAAAACTTTTCTCCTTGATATTTAAAATAATAAAAAATTAGTATATCTAGATCTAAATTACGAATATAATTAATTGACATGGCACGCGAAAATAAATGGATACGTCTTATCGCGAGATACAGGGAAATAAAAATCACAAAATAAAGATAAACGGTTTCTTTCGTAAGATTTTGTAAATAATATTGTTATTTTTTTATTTAATTTTAGTTTGCAATACGTTTCGAATATTCGTCTTTCAATTTCGGAAACGTGTTGCGAGAGTGGTAAATAAATAGTATAATCGCATAGATATCGGTCTCGCGTGGACAAACCAAATCCACCCACAACAGAAAGATAGAGAGGAAATCGCGTGACTGAAAGTTTGAAAGTCCGATTTAATTACATCTTGCAGCGATAGGAGTACGTATATACACACATATACATAAATACACGCATATACGCGTTTTAGATTGGAACACGCGAGTCATACGTCGAAGTTTAATGCAAGAAGTCGTTACGCGTGATTGAGTTTATAGTAAAATAAAAATTAAAAAAGATAATAACAACTGTAATAATTTTAAAATTAAACGAAGAAAAAAAAGGAGAAAAATAGATGAGAAAGAGAAAGAAAAAGAGAAAGATATACAGAGAGAGAAGGAAAGAAATAAAATAAGAAATAGATTGTTTACATCCTCTTCGATGTTTTATCTTTTTTTTGTAAAAAATAAAATAAAATAAAAATGAAATAAAAAACATATTGCCTCCTCCTTTTTCTTTTTCCTTCTCCTAATCGTGGGCTCTAATTATTTTTAGATATACCATTTTACGCTTACTCGTAAGAGCGTACTGACCGCATGTCGGTCGACTTTGTACGTCTTCTCCTTTCATCGGTTATTCTCTTTCGCATGATTCATCGCACTCTGTGTATTTGTGTGTACTCGTATGTGTGCGTGCGTGCGTGCATCAGTGTATTTCCCCCATAAACTTCAAATTTATGTCGTGATTTATCGCGTGTTTATACGAAATACGGAAAATAGAAGAAGAAAAAGAAAAAAAAGAAATAAATAAAAAGAAATGTAGTTGATAGTTGGTATCGAATGAGAGAAGTAACGCGCGAATGGATGCGTGTACGCTCGTCGCCGAGCCGCGACTGACGAACTCGCAAATCGTCTGCGGGTGCACTAGCAGCTTGCGCTAAACTCTCCTCCACTATGACGACCTCGGCAACTCATTCAGGTTAGATCGAAATGGCGCAGCGCACTCCTCGGTGTGTGTTCATATATTATATCTCGTGCGCATACTGCCCGCATTCGCTCGAATTTTACGCGCCTCGTACGATCTCTATCTATGAATGTGTTATATGTATATATGGTATCTACATCTCGAGACACCGTAAAATTTTCTTTTACGAGACAGCCCTCGTTCTCCTATCGGAATAATAAAGAATTCTTGAGAAACGTGAGTTCGCCTTTGCGATTCGCTCTTATGTTTCTTATATACTCTTATGTATTAATATATATGTATTCGTATATATATCTGTGTACGTGGTTCGTTCGTTTCTAATCTCGTTTATTGTTTGATATCGATCATTGGATTTGCAAATATATTTATCAATTTAATTTCCCAAGACATTTTAAATTCTAATAGATATTTAGACATATATATAGATATCGTTTATTCGTATATATTACATATATATGTTATACATGAGGAGCGACAAATAGGTCAACGAATAATAAAGAAAGTCGATTGAAAGGTGTTTTTATCTCGTGGATTTAAATTAGAAAAAAATAATATGGAATGAAATAAAAATAACGGAGAATTCAATTTGGAAATTAATTTGTTAAAACGTATACGTGATTTCTTTCGAGTATAAAAACGACGTGTTTAAGTACTTCGAAACAAATCTATTTACGAAATGGTATGGACGTATATCTTTCGTTTACATTTGCGAAATAATTTATAATCCCATTTTTATTTATTCAATGATTAAGGGGTACAACATACAGACACGGATACGTTTTTACGATAAAAATTATGAAATCAACATTATAAATTATATTTGAAAATAACATCGAGAAAAAAAAATTAATAAAAAAATAATTCATATCATTACAATTAAATCGTTGATCTTATATAAAAAATTAAGAAATGATCACTAAACTTTAAAAACTTACACGATTATTTTTTTCTATTCTTTCTATTTCTTCTTATTGTTTCTGTATTGCACAGACATCGAGGAAACATCATCGTATCGTATAACCATTAAATGTGACGGTTCAGTATTTAAACGACTAGAGAAGAACATTGAAAGAGAAAGAGAGAGAGAGAGAGAGATGAATTATGTGTGTATATCTATCATAAGATATATCGTTTCTTATGCGTTCCCCTTGCAACCACAAGTATGCCCAAGAGACGTGGTTACTTTATAACCAACTCATAAGGAAACGGATAATTCGATAATTCACGTGACCTAGTCACGCGCCATATCCGCGCTTTTATTTGACTCTATTGATTTATATGTTTCTTTCTCTTCGATAACCAATACACGTATATAGATGTATAAATATATATACAGGGTACCCTAGGTCTGAAAGAGGCCACCTAAATATTTTCTTTTTTGTTAATAATATGAAAAACGTTTAAAACATACTTTGATTGGTTTTGAAAAAAGTATATAATAGAAATCAATCCAAGAGTATCTTTTATTAAACATTTTTCATATCATTCAAAACAATGAAAATATTTACGTAGTTTTCTCTGATTGGAACACCCTATATATTTGTGCATAGTAGCTCACCTAGTTAAAGTTTGCGTATTCGTTAAAATAAATATTAGGAACAGAACAAATCCTACTAGACTGGTAACTATAATACGATTCGATCTATGAACGAATTATTGATACGATTCTCTTTGTACAGGTGAATCTACTGAATGTAAACATTCATGTATGATTCATAATTCATGCGATAATAAAAGAAATAATAATCATACAGGTCAATCTATCGTAATACAAATAAATTAGATTAAATATCAAAAGAAGCTTTCATTTAGTTCCGTTTCGTTTCATCCGAAAGGATTGTTTGAAAGTTCTGCGGATTGATGTGTGTATGTGTGCTGTTATGATAAGACTAACGGTAATCGGAAATCTCTTTAAATTTGAAGACTCTTTTTTTGAAAGGGGGTTGTAAGAGAGGATGATAAGGAAGGAGGGGGTCGACAACAGTGCTTTCCGTGACTGGTGGTCGATAACCACAGTCAGCAGATACCATGTGATGTCTCTCGCTAGCTCTCTTTTCTGTTCCTCTCCTTCATTCTCTCGCTACACCTTCAATGTATGTATGTATGTATGTAATGTATATGTATACGTATAGTACTTACTGGCATATTGATCCAGACTTGCAAGACATATGTGTAACATATAATAGAATCTGGGAAGCTTAATTACGGATTTCTTGATATTGCAATAATTAATGCAACTGCTGGTGTTGCGAACTCAACAGCAGATGTTTGTCGTATCTACCGGAAGGAACTTAAGAAAGTTTTCTCAATAGCAATTATTGAGAATCGAAATGTGATATCATGCATAACGTTTCGTTTTAAAATGAGTTTTGACAAAATAATAATAATAATAATAATAATAATAATAATAATAATAATAATAATAATAATAATAGAAGTTACATTAATTGATGTTGGAAAAATATTTCTAGCAGATAATTGTACGTTTAAAATGCAATATAACGAGAAAATGGAATATAACGCGATAATGCGCGAATAACATAGATGACAGGCTGACGAAGCGTAATATGAAATTTCATGGTTGGAAAGACTTGAATTAAATGAAAATGATCGTAAAAAATGTTGATATATTATAAAGAAGAATTTATATCCTTTATATCGTATAGTACTCACCTAGTAAGCTAAAACTTGATCGTCCAAGCACAATTGCGAAATGTTCCGGAAATTACGATTGCGGAATCGAAAACATGTTCTTCTCCTTCCAATAAACTTCGCTTCCTCAAGCAAGATCTTATCTTGGTGAAATGACGGAAACGGTAACTCCTACTCGAAAGAAAAAAAAAATAAAGGACAAAAATAATAACGATCGATTCATTGGGTATTTATCAAAAATTGAATATTACTATTGTTCATTAGTTTTCTATTTTCTTTTATTTTCTATTTTTGTTCTTTTTAAAAGAAAAAATAACTTAACACAATAGCAAATGTTATATTCAAAGTATTAATATCGAAAAGAAGATACCTTTGGTACTCTCATGACGACGGCGATTATTAAATTATCTTCTCGACTGTGAAAAGCAAGCGTGTCACGGTCATAGTCATTGTTACGATTTATACGCAAAAATGTTAACTTTATCTACGATATCTTTCAACGTAAATTTTGTATGCATTAAGATTATAAATGAATATTTATATTTCATTTGTTTGAAAATTAAAATTCTTGTATACCAAGTTCGAGCCTTTTTTTATACACGAAAAATATTCTAAACTATAGTTTCTAATCTGATTGATAAATTAAAATGCAAAGATTTTGATCATTCGCAAATCTTGCGTCGTATTATTTTATGAAAAAACATTAGAGGTGTAGAATTGAGATTACATTCAAATATTCGATAATATTCATACATTTGATTATTCGATTCGATATTCGATAATATGCGAATGTTTTACTATTCAATTCGATATCCGATATTTGATAATTAAACGAATATACCTACTATTCGAATACTCTAATAAAAAGTATAAACTTACACTACATTAACCGAATAATTTAGAACAATTTAGATAATATAAAAATAAACAAAATACTTGTTAAATTGTATTGATGAATTTAAAAACGTTTAAACGTAAAGAGTGGCTTAATAAAATGCATTTATTTTTTTTTTAAAGAGAGAATAAATAAAATTGAAAATTATTTGATGTATCACATGTACACTTATTATATTACGATATAGATGTTTATTTGTTTTCATCTCCGTCTTTATTTATATCCAAGGTAATAATAGTTCTTAGTTCGAATAACGATCTCTTACGTTGGAAACAATCAGAGTCTTAATCTAGGCTGAAAGCTTATTAGCAAATACCGCGTAAAAGAGAACTTAAACGTCATCATTAAGCTGTGTCAAATAGGTTTTCACTTTCCTTATTGACCTTCCGGTATGAGTGTTAGTCCCATATACATAGTGACCTGATCTATGCAGAGATAGCGCCACTTTCTTCATCGAACTGCATTTAGAATATTACTATCTAAAAAGATACTTCTATCTGCTCTATTTTCATTAACAAAAATTCTTTTCTTCTATGATTTTTCTTCCACACAAATACATGATTCAGTATTTCGACGATATTCAAAATATCTGGTCATTTTTAAATACACAATTAATTTATACATACATTGTAAGTTCGAATATAAATGGTGATTTCTTTTTAGAAAAAGAGAAGTCCATAATTTTATCATAGTCAGAAAAAACTTACGTTAACAACTTTCTTAAGAATATTATTTTTGTATTTTGTTGTATATAACTGACGTATAAAAAAAAATAATCTTAAAAATCTGTACACCACTTACCATATTTTCACGCCATCGCAAAACAACGACATTTGAGTAATAAAAAACGTATTCTCTTGATTAATTATTATGTTCTAGACATATATCAATAAACAAGATTTCACCAATAAATGCATACTTTAAATAAACTAATAATAGACGAAAAATTATGATTAAAAAAAGAGATACACGATTGAAAGCTCAATTGAGAATGTTAACCGAAAAGAAATGTAAATGAAAAAAGTTTAAACAAAATAAACAAAAAATTAATTCTCATTTCGAAAATCGTGATAACTGATACGATAACAGAGAGACCAAACGAAACGCATTGTTAAATAATACATGAAAAGAAAAAGTCACCTGAATACATTGACGTAGGCGTGTGAGCTCGTAAAATGTTGAAAAAAGTAAATAAATTTATCATATAAGATTTGAGAGAGTGGAAGTATAGAATGAAAATCAAATATAGAACGAAAAATATTTAAAACTCACCATGATATTTAAAAAGGATGAAGAATCCGCTCGACGAAGGAAAACTAATCCGCGTTATTTGCGCGGCTGTTAAAAATGAGGATCGTTCGAGCGCGCACTAGTACAATAAACCCTACAGAGGAATCAACGTCTACCACCCCTTCTGGTGAAGGGGTGCTACTGGCATGAGATAGGAGGCCCGTGTCCGGTTCTAACACGCACCGACGACTTTCCTCCTCTTCTTCCATAGGACTCGAAAACTCGCGCATGTTTCTTACGAACAATTGTTGCCTGGCAGCACCAGCCACACCAACTTTACCGTCCGGCGTATATACGTCTATAAAACATTGATGTTTTCCTAAGCTTTTTTACATTCTTTTGAAAACTTTCCTAATTTAGACATTAGATAGTAATAACATTTAAATAAAAATTAACGAACATTACTTTTCTCTCTGATCGTTTATCAAAATTGATCCTTGTTAGAACGATTTATTATCTTTTTACCTTTTATATATGTTCTATGATTTTTTTCTTATTACGTGATAATGTTTAATAAGCTAACTTCTAACAACATATGACGAATTCCAATGGAATTTTATTTTATATTAAGAGATACAAACCATTTTTCTAGATAACTCTTGGGATCTATGTTTTTTCTTATTTTTTTTTTGTTTTTAACTTTTATACGACCTCAACTTAAACTCTTCATTCCATACATTGGCTCTGCGTGCGCATGTGGTCTTACATTAAAGGAGAAGTTTGCATTTAATTTTTTTAGAGGTTATATGGTGTGAAGTTTAGAGATATATGTTCATTTTTATATCTACTTAATATATCAAAGTATTTAGTATTATTTATAAAATATATTTATCGTATAAAAATTATGAAATTATAAAGTCGTTAGAAATGGCTCAATTTTTATCAAGAAGGTTAAAAATATTGCAAATCAGAATCTTACAAAGGCATTACACAAATGATGCACTTAAAAATGTATATATTAGTACGCCAATATTTTATGTAAATGCAGGTAGATTAAATATTATTTTATTTAATAATTTTGCATAATGCCTTTACTTATATCTTTCACATTTATGCCAGCACCACATATTGGACATTTGTACAGTGCAGCATTAGCCGATTGCATTGCAAGGTACAGATCCATGCTTGGTCATACTACGTTTTTAAGCACTGGTACGGATGAACATGGTAATAAAGTAAAAACAGCTGCAAATTTGGCTAAGATACCAATACCAGATTATTGCACACAGGTTTCCAAACAATTCAAGGAAATGTGTGACAAGTTTTCTATTAATTATTCTGCATTTATTCGTACCACTGAGCAACGTCATTTTGATGCAGTTCATCACTTCTGGGTTGTTATATTTCTTTGATCATTGGCATGTGTTTTATATATAAAGAAAGATAAGTTATTACATATTAATTGTTAACGTCAATAAAAATAGTAACGCAATACGTACATACATTTTTAGAATGTTTTGGACACGAAAGGATATATTTATTTAGGCAAATATTCCGGATGGTACTGTACATCAGACGAAGCATTTCTTACCAATATAGAATTAGATGAAATAACAGATGCATCTGGTAAAAAAATTAAAGTTTCTAAAGAATCAGGTCATTCTGTTGAGTGGACGGAAGAAGACAATTATAAATTTAGATTAAGCAATCTTAAAGATGAATTGAAATATTGGATTAAAAAGGGTATAATATTACATACAATAAATTAAATACTAAATACTTATTTTATATTGAAAAAATTATTTTTTTATTCTATAGACACTACAGTACAACCTGAAAAATATCACAAGATTTTATATAAATGGATAGAAGAAGATATAAGTTCGTATGATTTAAGTATATCGAGACCTACAAGTAGAGTTCCTTGGAGTATCTCAACACCTCAAAACAAAAATCAATCAATATATGTTTGGTTGGAAGCATTAGTAAATTATTTAACAGTATTGGGTTATCCAGATAATACGTACAAACAATTTTGGCCACCGAGTTTGCAGGTAGATTATTTGTATGACATGCTTCGTGAAGTCTAATCAAAAATATATTTTTTTTTTTATATAAAATGTAGGTTATTGGTAAAGATATATTAAAATTTCATGGAATATACTGGCCAGCATTTTTAATCGCTGCTGGATTGGAACCTCCACGAACAATATTGTGCCATGGACATTGGACAGTTGATAATAAAAAAATGTCTAAATCGATAGGTAATGTTATTTCACCTTTTGAAGCAGCTGCTAACTTCACAGAAGAGGGTTTGAGGTATTTCATTTTAAGAGAAGCTGTCCCTCATAGCAATGCGAGTAAGTTTACCATTTCAATCAATATGTCATTCCATTCTATTATGAAGCATAAAGAAAAATAACCTTTGTTTTGATTTTAATAGATTACAGCAATAATAAAATTGTAAGGACAATAAATGCAGAGCTTGCAGATACATTAGGTAATTTGATTAGTCGGTGCACTGGTAATATTATTAATCCATGGGGTGAAGTTCCTAATCCGATGGAGTTTGTTGATGTTTTAAAATCAGACATAGCTATTCAAACCATAGAGAGCATCAATTATTTAGGTGAAAAAGCTCAATCTCATTACAAAGATTATAAACTACATAGCGTAGCTGATGTGACTATGAACGTATTACAAATGGCAAATAAAATGGTAGAATATCATAAGCCATGGGTATTAAGCAAAAATTTAGATAATCGAAATTCTTTTATGGAATTGAAGGCTGTCATTTCTATCGCATTAGAGAGTATAAGAATATCTGCTTTGGTATTGTATCCGATTATTCCAAGATTGGCTAATAATATTCTTGATTTTTTGTCAATACCAAAAGAAAATCGCACCTGGTATGATACGATTTCTCAGTACCAAAAGAAAAGTTTACCAGACAAAAGACATTTTGATCGGAATGGTATGATATTATTTAAGCGAATAAAAGCTTCATAAATTTGATACATACAGTGATGTATATTTACTATGGCAATATCCCATTGACCTTAATTTATAACCATTTAATTAATAGTGATTGAACGTTAATTGAAGAAAATCATTGTGTCTTCTACATAAAATAGTAATTCGTTTAGGTATTATGGCAATAAATTAAAAGACAAATTTGTATATCTATAGGATCTAATTATAAAAATATACGAAATATAAAATGCGTGCGGAAAATAAAATGCTTGACATTTTGTGAAAGATAGTATAATAGATGGCGCATAAGTATGAAAACCAGAACGCAATATCACATATATTTCCATTTCTGTCTGGTAAAGGAAAGGAATGGAATAGTGTGGCGTCGTGCATCTCGTATCTCTCTCTAGTCGCTTAAAGCTATTCGTTCATTTGGTTGAACTCGTTGCGCAACGTGAAGCGCGCAGCGTCCTTTGCGCATAGTTATGGTAGATAGACGAACAGAATGTCTTACTAAAAAAAGCGCGGTTTATTGACGAAGTGGAGTGGTTTCGTGAGAAATTCTTCAGGTAGCAAGCCTTCAAAGAAAGACTTAAGTTTTTTAAATAATTCCGTCAATGGAAGTACGCGGATGGTAAGTGAGCAGTAACGCGCAACCGACACTTTCATACGGCGCTGTGTATGGATTAAACAAAATGGCTACCCTTTTGTCGTTGGCGGTATTATTTATTTGGTTTGCGAAAAAATGGACATTAGATTGTAATTAGGTTATCGCGATAAGTTTAACTCTCACGTGAAAAAATATCCTCGATTTAGTGTTAACGAACTATTTTAACATTTATTTTATCGCACTTTATGACTTTATCTATTCGCTTACGTTACTATTTCTCTATTTACTTTCTTTTTACATATTAAGATGAAACTGCGATAGAAGTGACAGAATTTACATTTACGGAAGCTAGGTATGTCATAATGCTGTATACATTATCATTTTTAATCAATTTTGTATATTGTATATATATATATATATATATATATAAATTCTTAAACATAACCTTATTGTAATGATAAACGGGTGGGGAGTTGAGTTAATGTTTTAATTATCTTGACTTTGTAATAATACTATCAATAATTCTATTTTCATTTCGTTTTACAGATCTGAAAAAATGTCTAGCTCTTATATTGTTGAGCCGCAAGAAAAAGAGACTCAGAAACAGGATGACACATTGATTATTGTAGTCAGTGATGATGGTACAATATCAGTAGATCAAGAAACATTACACAATTTAATAAGTAAGTAATTATTATTCTAATGTATATAAGAGGAGTTTATTATTTTATTATTTATTATTTTGTTTTAGCCTTTTTTGTTATCGATTAATGGATCTTGTTTTTGTTTACAACAATATTCGATATATTTTAATATTAATATACTAACAAATAATGAATTTTTATTAACTTTGTCTAGATTTTCATTGACACTTTGCATTTGTATTAATATATAGATTGAACTATATAATCTTCTTATTGAACTATATAGTCTTCTTACAATTTGGTAATATAAAGTTCCTTGAAAATCCAATATCAATTATCGGATTAGACGAATGTTATTTTGTTATTGATAAAGGCTATATGAATATGTTTTCAGTGAATCAATCGAATGCTAATGTTAGTGTAGTAAGATTGGGACAAAGTGAACCAGGGGCTAACAATGGAGATATAACGTTGACCGTAGATCCTCCAACTTTTACATCTTCGAACATTACACCTATAGTCAATGCAACAACTACTGATGCAAGCGGACTCGTTGATCCTTTTATGGAAATGGATCCTGAACAATTAGAAAGATTGGAAACTGCTCTTCAGAGCGAGGAAGCAAAACAAATATTAGGCGAAAATGTTACAGCAATGCTTGGTTTGTTTGTTACAGTTTAAAAAAATGTAGAATAATAATATATATATATATATGATTATTTTATTAATAAATCTTATTACATTTGTTGTTTTTTAGATATGCTGTCCGTAGAAGAACAACAGAAGTCAATAAGATATAGCGTTGAACTGGATCACTGTTATACAAATAAATTACCTGATTCTGAACCAAAAGATTCATTAGCATTGTCAAGTTATGCATCTTCTAGCGACATACAATATATGCATTCTCCTTCTCCATCGACAGTGTCAACAATGTCATTACCATCTAATGAAGTTGATAAACTGAAAACAAATACTAAATCAGTAAGTGATTGTTTTTCGAAATGTTGTTATTTTTTTTTTTTTTTACAATATATTATTTTAGGGTAAGCCGATTGGTCGCCCTCGGAAAAATCCTCTTTCTTCGAATCAATCTACTTCTCCTCGATCAGCTGGGAATTCTCCCGGAGCATCAAAGTCAACAGGACATTCGATATCTAAAGGTGAAATTAATTTACAAAAGGGAGTTTGTACAAATATAAGCATGCTATTTATTACTGTTAATAAATTCACGTATTGTAGGTTATATTGTCATACCGATTTAATCATGTTCCTAATAAATACATTTTTATTACTGATATTCTTATAAAATATTTTATTTATTATACACTATAATATTACATTGTATCTATATAAGTATAATAAATTATAATTAAATGTTTCTTTTATGTAGCACATAGGCTATCCAATGATGAAGAAGAAGAGGAAGAAGGTACTCCTTCACCTTCTGAGTCTTCTGAATCAGAACCTTCATCGGACAATGATTTAGATTTTGGTCCACGAGGTCCAAGGAGAGGAGGACTTAGAGCCAGAGGTGGGCGGAAAGGTTTAACTACTAGGGGTGGATACATAACAGGACGAAGAAGAAATTCTAATAAACATTTGGATATAGAACAAGTGCGTCGATTAGATATGGAAATGGCTGCAGCTGTCACTGCAATGAAAACTTCTGAAAAAGAGGAAAAGATAGGTATGCATTAAAATATTAAGCACTTTTTTAGATCTATCTGTAATAATCTATTTGTCATTGGCAATTGAACATTTACTTGTCTGTGATACCACTTTAATATATGGAAAAATTATTTTGACCGGTTATTGAGTGTAGAATTTGCGAACGACCAGGAAATAGATAGTTTTGAATTCCACACGGCGGAACCTCTGATTAACGAACCGACAATTTTAGAAATAAAAAGTGCGATTAAAAAATTAAAAAATCATAAAGTACCAGGTACCGACTTGATCCCAACTAATTAAATGAGGAGGGAGTAGTAGATAAATAGAAGAAGTCCACAAATTAATCAAATTAATATGGAATAAAGAAGCATTGCCGAAACAATGGAAAGAGTCAATTATAATCAGGAATTTCAAAAAGGGGAACAAAATGCCATGAATACTTCCTATCCGCGTGTTATAAGGTCCTGTCGAATATTTTATTAACGAAGATGGTACCATATGCAGACAAGATAATTGGGGATTATCAATGCTGTTTTAGTGGAAATAGATCGACTACAGACCAAATCTTTATTATTCCGCAAATCTTTAAAAAAAAAAGTGGGAATTTGATAGACCGGTAGATCAACCTTATATTGATTTTTAAAAAGCACATGATTTAATAAAACGAGAGAAAATGTTTGAAATTCTAATAAGGCAGGGGATACCAAAAAACTGGTTAACCTGGCTTAATCTTGTTTAAAGGAAATTAGGAGTAAAGTAAAAATAGATAACCAAATATCAGAAAATTTTAGCATTCATAGCGTGTTAAAACAGGGGGATGCACTGTCACCTCTTTTGCCCAAACTAGTACCGGAATTTGCTGTTAACCCCTTGACCTACAAATACGGGCATAGCCCGTGTACGATGATCGGGCCAAACGTAAATATTACGGGCATAGCCCGCGTACAATGATCGGACCAAACGTAAATATTACGGGCATAGCCCGTAGTACGATGATCGGGCCAAAAGTGAATATTACGGACATAGCCCATAGTACGATAATTGGGTCAAATTAGATATGAATCAGAAACCTTCAAAGGGCCCGACACGGTTTAAAGGGTTTTCATCGCACCACATGTTTCTTTGATCATTGAGATAGTTTTGAAATTTATGGCCTCTTTGGAATTTCTTAATGTTTTAAGTAAACAGTAACTTATACCTGCTGCCTATTGTATTTTATGATATTTGCTACCATAAACTTATAGTATGGCTTTCCTCAAATGAAATTGAATATATAAGAAAAAATAACTAAATATAAGTTATCGTCTACCAATGATTTGGTACCGAACAATAATAGGAATACATCACGAGCATTGTCTGTGATATTTAAAAACCGCACCTTCCTACAACGAGTGATGCCCATAATATTTACGTTTAAGCTAAATCGAGCATCAGTGTATTACTCAAGTTGTGCGAATGGCTCGAAGGCCGCACGAACTTGTTTACGTTTTTGGCCCAAAATTCTCGAACGTAAATCGTAGGTTAATGGGTTAAAGAACTGCAAAAAGGTAAAGGTGGTCTGTAGTTGAACGGGACAACGCATGTAGATGGGAGGACAATACTAGGAGGGATTTTAAGGAAATAGGGTACGAAAACCGCGAATGGAGGGGTCGCGCTCAAAATACTGGGATACAATATTTGCGACAATGAATTTTCGAGTTCCTAACGCCAGTTATTAATAATAATGATACCACTTCGGTATCATCTAATGAAAAAGTGTTAATAATTATTTAAAAAGATTACTTTATTTATAATTTTATCAGGACTCACGTCTACTAGAGGTAGAAGACAGTTCAAGACGTTTGGAATAAGAAAAAAGGATGAAACACAACATGTGGAACCATCACCTGTTACAAATGAAGCAATTGTTAACACTGAAAAACACTTGCAAACGACAAACCAAGTAAAAGCTAATTTAATTAGTAGCAATATGATCAAAGGTGATATGATTCTAACTAAGCCTGGCCAAGGAAGAAATAATCAAAAATTAACTCTAGTACAAAAGCAAGTTGTAATGAAAGCCAATGAGCTCAAGAATATGGATGTAAAAAAACCAATGATCCTTCCAAAAGGAAAATTTTTGAATCAAGTACAAACGAAATTGATATCTACAAAAGATGGGAAATTAATGCATGTACCAATAGCATCAAAATCAACGGTGTCGAGTACTCCGATAGGTCATGAAAAGGGAACAATAATACAAACTACTCCCATACAACAGTATCAAGGAGTACAACAACAAAGCAAACCTATTTCATCTGCCATGTCAGTTAAAGTTAAACCATCGGAAATAAAGAAAGAAAGAAAAAAGCCTGACAAATTAACGGATCTTATTACTAAGCCAGAAGGTGATAATACCAAATCTGTTGAAATTAAAAACGTAGATAGTTAGTATTTTTTTAGTAACTGTTTA